AAGCCCGTGGGACCTGGCTCCAGCACCCCATAGGGCCTTGGGGCTGGGGGGGCAACCTCTGTGTCACGGAGAGCGAGTTCAAGTGCCCAAGGGCAACAAGGTTCTAGGCTTGGTGAAGCCCTGCCCTGAGTACTCCCCAGTGCTCCCTGCCAGAATGGAAGAAATCTTCCCCTCTGACCAGAGGACCTGTCCCGTCTTAGCCTGCCACGTGTCAATGAGGACACGGCTTCAGCAGGATAGAAGGCCAGCCTACCAGAATTATCTGGCTCAGGGAAGAGGGTGGAGAAGGAAGGGGCGGTCCTGACTCAGTTGCATAGGTGTGGTCACAGATTTCCAGGATTCCAGATTCTTACCCCACCGATCGCAGCCAGGCCACTTTCAATCATGTGCTCACCCCAGCGATAATGCTGTTACTTACCCCCACCAGTCCCCGGTTCCCCACGAGATAAAGTCCAAACTCCTCAGCCTGTTCTGTAAGGCCCTGAGGAATTTATTTTTTAATGGGGCCAAGAGGAATTTGATCCTTGCTCACCTAGGTTCCAGAGAAACTAGACTTTTCACCTTCTGGAATATAATGTGCTTTTTTATACCCGTGGGCAGTTCCCTCGACCAGGAACACCTTCTCCCTTCTTGACCTGGGAAAAGCCTCCCCCTGCTTCCTGACCGAGATGGAACACTACCGTTTCTGGGAAGCCCAGCACCCCAGCCCTGGCCAGACTCTGTTGCTCTCTCTTTCCTGCTCCCAGCCTGGGGCGCACATCTGGTTTCTAATGCTCTCCGTGTGGCCCTGTCACGAAGAACGCAAGATATGTGTCCCCTCTGCTCCGTGGCTGGGTCACATCTTACCCACCGTTTTCTCCCCAGCCCAGGTGCGTGCTTGAGTCTCAGTAAAGGTTCGCTGATACGTGAAAAGGCTGCCACAGAATCTGGGCACTTCGGTGTCAGTCCATAATCGACAGCCCGGGCGCCCACATTTCAGGAAGTTTCTTCAGACATTCGAGCTTTTATGGCTTGCCTATGACGCGCCAGGAGCTCGCTCGGCTTGGGGACTGGAGGCACGGCTCTGGATGGGACGGCGCCCCCTCCCTGCTGCCCAAGGTACCTGCTCGTTGTCCCTGGGGCGGCACAGAGACACGCACCTCGAGATCTGGGGGAGCCCCTGCCTCTGGGCTGAGCGTGTGCATGCATGTGTATGTGTGTGCACATGCCTCTATGTGTGTGGGGCGGGGGGAGTGCGTGTGTGTGCTTCTGTGTGTGTGCGTCGTGTTGAAGAGGCAGGAATTCCCATGAGACCTGAGCCTTTCCTGGCTGCAAAGGGAGCTCCTGGGCTCGACCCCGGGACTCTCAGCGCAGCCAGCCCCTTCGACCGTGCTCTGCAAGCACCCATGTGCCCACAGATGCCCTGGGTTATCGTTAAAATGCAGGTCTTGGGGCGCCTGGGTGGCTCAGTCGGCTGAGTGTCTGACTTCAGCTCAGGTCATGATCTCGCGGTCCGTGAGTTCGAGCCCCGCGTCGGGCTCTGTGCTGACAGCTCAGAGCCTGGAGCCTATTTCCGATTCTGTGTCTCCCTCTCTCTGACCCTCCCCCATTCATGCTCTGTCTCTCTCTGTCTCAAAAATAAATAAACATTAAAAAAGAAAAAAGAGCTACTGATGAACGATATTCCTTTTTTCCCCTCTTTTCACAGCGAAATATAATACCCATTCAGACAACTGCACGCGAAGATACACGGCTCAGAAATGACCGTCTCACCCAGGTCACGAAAGGGGTGGCCAGCGCCCCAGCGGTCCCTTCACCGACCCTGCGCGTCGCACCCGCGCCCTCCTGCAGAAGTGACCCCGTGCTGACACCGTCTTGCTTTCCTGTATGGTTTTACGCCCCGGGCGTGAATCCGACTCCAGTTCTGTTTTGTCTGGGTTTAAACTTTGTATCAGGAAAAAATATAATGGCTATTCTTCGGTGTTTGATTTCTTTTCACATCACATTATTATTTTCAGTTTCCTCCAAGTTGGTATGTGTAGCTGTGCTTAATTCCTTTTTTTTTCTGGCCACTCAGTTGTATTTTCTGTATGATTGTAACTGCAGATCACTCATCCACATTTGGATTATTTTTGGATTTGGCTCTTACGAAGAAGGCTGTTGGGCATTCAGGTACGTGTGTCCTACGGGCGTGTGGACAAGCGTTTCTGTGGGTGGATTTGCTGAAACAGAGGCGTGTGTATTTTTAACTTTGGTAGATGAATCTTAGAATGGTTGCTGCCGATTCGTGTGTATGTGTCAAAACTCTACAGCAGCCTGGACTTCTGGTTGCTTTATATTCTCGCGTGGTCTGGTGAAAGTAAAAAACAAACGAACCAACAAACAAAAACAAAACAAAACAAAACAACGGGGGAGGGGGAGCATTAGTACCAATTCAGAACAAATGGCAAGCAAGAAGTAAAATGGGGAAAGAAGTCCAAATGTGTCCGTAATTATCGTAAATATAAATGGAGTAAGTGGACCGGGTGAAAGACAGGAGTAAAAAGTTCATTTATAAGACACACACTACACATAACAGAAAAACTTATAGTAAATGGGTGAAGGGGAGATACCAGGAAAACATTATGCAAAAGAAAGTCACGGAGAGCTGGGTTGCATCAGACAAAACAGACTCGAAACCAAAAAGTGTTATGAGTGACAGAAAGGACATCTATCACTGGCAACGTGTGACATTTTCAAAGTTGAATACAATGAATCAACTAGCTTCAAAAAAACTGGAAGCAAAACTTGGTAGGGCCACAGGGAGAAACTGACAGGTCTACCGTCAGGAGAGAGATTTCTGCCCTTGTCTGTCCATGATGGATTGTCAAAGCGGAAAATAAAAAGTGAGGAGCAGAGAATGGAAAATGATACAGATCATTGGAATAAAAACCAAGTGGAGCTTCTGAAACGAAAAATGCCATAAAAATGAGACACCGGAAACTCGGTGGATGGGTTTAAAAGTGGGTGAGACGCAATCAGGGAGAGATTCGATGAACTCGAAGGTATGTCAGAAAGAATTTTCTGGAACCCTGCTCAGAGAGACAAAGAGGTCAAAAGACTACGAGAAAGGTTAAGATATGTAGAACAATGAAGTAGTAACCTATGCCTCCTTAGTATTCTAGAAGAAGGAGAGGGAGAAATTGAGGCAGAGCAGTATTTAAAGTACTGAGAGCTCAGCATTTCCCACTACAGATTCACGCAGCCTAACGAATCCCGTGTAGGGGTTAAAAAAAAAAGAAAAACGTATGTCAAGATGCATCATG